GGATCCAAATGGCCCTGCTATGGGTGCTGGAGGCGAACCCCTTTCAGTGATGCAGTGTAATTGTGTTTATCCCAATGAGAAATCATCAACAAAGTACTATATAGATAGATAAACTGTATCTGACAGATACTTGGCAAGCTTTGATAAAGTCTGAACACTTTCAAAAACAACTTTGTTTTGAAAGAAATACTGTGGATCGACTTCAATTCCCATCATTTTGCTTAGCATGGTCTGCTCTATTATTACTGCACAAATGACAGTGTGCTTTATATGGCACTGACTCATATGCATTTCAGGATTCTATGGAGGAGACAGGCACACTTGTAATTGCATTCAGTAGGTTGTCAGTGAACTCTCAACTTGGCTGAGAGTTCTGCAGGTACGGAACAGGAATTCTCACCTTGGCTGAGGATCTACAGCAGGAGATCAACACATCTGGAGCTCTTTTCCGTTTGTTAGCTGGGTGGCATTTTCAAGCATAGAGCCTTTTTGATTTTCAGATAGTTGCTTCAACACCTGCCAAACCATCTTGGGCTACAATCCAGAAGTCATTATTCTCATGTTTCAGTTACTGTATCTGCCATGGGAATATACTGGATTGAAGTATTTTGGAAGCATCAAGATTCCACCCCTTTGAACCCATCAAAATGAATTTGTATGCTGGGGGTAGGGTTAGGAGGAAAATGGAAAACAAAGGACCAAAAGGATTACAGGTTCCATGTGTCTGTTTAACATTTCAGCATATGTATAAAACCATGGACACAATTCATCTTTGTGCAGTCCTAGTTGCTCCTGCGTGGAGGAAATCTATAGGATTCAGTAGAACCTTGTAACCCTTTCACTGAGTTACCCAATAGCTCAGTGGTGTAAGTCTCTGGCTGCGGAGCCAGAGGTTGGGAGTTTGATTCCCCCACTGTGCCTCCTTGACAGGAGGTGGACTTGATGATCCTTAGGGTCCCTTCCAGCTCTGTAAGATAATGATGATGATTTCCTCCACCTGCAGGAACATCCAGGTTAGGTCTGTGTACGTGGTAGCATGCTGGGCTATAAGCAGAATGTGTGATGTATATACATCATATTTTTTTCCCCGTGCAAGAATGTTAAGCAGCTGAAGGCAGAGAGAGAGAGAGAGAGAGAGAGAGGGAGGGAGAGCAAAGGTCTGCAGACCTTGTGCAGATGAGAACATGACCGCCAAGCAAGACAACATTGCAATGAATAGTTTGAGGCAATAGATGATATGAGCTTATTATCAGCTTCATACTAGGTTAATGCTTCATATGCAAAACTCTGGAGACTCTTGAGTAACATATTCCAAATGTGCATTGTAGATGGATTTGCAGTTGGACCAAAATGTTACAGTTTTACAGGTGTAAAACTGCTACCCCTTGACTATACTGGAGCTTTTTTTGCTAGAACTGGAGCCGGAAGCAATCATGACTTCTTTGCTATGTTTTTGTGCACAAGAAATGGAAGTTTGTAAGAGAGCAAAGTGAGACCTACAGCAAATTGGAAAGTTACTGGCATGTTGGTGGAAGAATGCAGGGTAAGCCACTGTCTGCACTACCTTGCACAGGCAAGAACGGTATTAAACATGTAGACAGTCAACAACAGTGGAAAAACATGGTCGTTGTCAAGACAGTCCCTTGGCCAAGAAGTCATTGTTTCTTGGAAAGGGCCTGTCCGCACATTGCACCTTAATTCTTTCCACCTATGAACTGTTTCCCAGACACTGTGGCTCCAGAGAGTAGCACCTAAAGGAGTGGAAGAAAGACCAGGCAGCACACAAGAGAATAATTGTTCCACCCATTACTCTAGCAGGCTTCCTGCTCTTCGTTCCAGGAGTACGTCAGAGCGACAAGTACTTTCATAACTTGTTATTAAAAATTGTTTCTGTATCCAGAACAGATGGCACATCACCACAGGATCGCCAGAACCTGGTGCAGTTCCTGTGGATTTTCCCACTCTGCTTTGCCTTGCTTATATATTACAGATATTGTACCATAAATAATAAATACAATACCAGAATGCCAGTGAATCTGTAACTGTCGTTCTTTGGAAAAGTGGCCTGAGTGTCAAGGTCTCCATGGCCAAAGAGCCCAAAAAACCCACAACAACCATTAGACTCAGGATCGTTGATGAAGTGACTGATGTCAGATAACAAATGTTCGAGAAGTGCTACCGAGGGCATGTGTGTCTAACCCTGGTGTATAAGCTGAGCCAATTCTATGGGCATTTCCCACCCAGTGAATGTGTTCACTCTTTGTGGCAGTTGCAGGGAAAGGCTACATAACTGGGCCAGGCTGTATTACTACCTATTTTGCATATATTTACATATGTTTGTGCATGGAGGCATGCAGGCCTGTATCTCTCTCAGAAAGTATACATGTTACAAATTTAGACATTTTCCTGCAGAATGGCACTGGAGGAGCCTGCAGTGCTTAAGGCGCGAGTGGGGTGGGAGAAGTGAATATATGTACACAGATGCTTTCTTCAGCCTGCAAGCCTTCCCATCTTCCAGCCCAACTTTCTTTCATCATTTCAGTGAAGGGAGCCAAATCAGAGTGACAGATGGATGGGGAGCCGCCACCCCCACCATCCATGAAGAAGCATTGATGTTCGTGCCTGTGGATTCCTGACAAAGGTCTTCAACTTGGTTAAAGTTAAACCAAAGGACTTAGGGGTATGCAGAGTCCTCCACTCCATCAGACCACCAAGTTTGCTTGATCAAGGAGAGCGCTGCTGATAGCAAACACTCCTCTGGTTTCTTTGGATGCTCCTATAAATTTGCAGACCTATTTTCCTCGTGCAGGGAAACAAGTGGCTGGTCTTGCCAAATAAAAAGGATCTCACCATATAGGCACCATATAGACATGTATATGTTCCACCGCTCCATGTATTTATGTATCTTTGACACACGGGTCATACCTAATCCCTTCTTCTACGCTCTCCTTGTTTCTCTAGCCAATGTATGTAAACCTGTCTTCTTTACTGCAAACACAAGTCTGGCTTCACAAGATATCTTGATTTCAGGTGCCACGCCACAGACAGATGCTTGTTTTATTGCGTTATTTATTATTCAGCACTTACTGGAGACCTATAACCTGCAAGAACTGAAGAGAATGTAAAGTGAGCAGAAGCCTTTGGAAAATAAATAAATAAACAGTTATGATCACTCTCATACAACCTGCGCAGAGAAGAAATACACTGCTGGTTAACGACTCTGCCTTGTGAACACACTACAGTATTAGAAAAGTTGTCACAATAAATGTGCTTCAGAAGCTATGCCCTATTACATTTTATGTTCATGATGCTTTAATTTTATATGTACAACAGCAGAAGGTATGAAAGTGGTGGGATAGTTGTTTTCAAGATATCTGTTCTTTGCACAACGCAGAAGAACTATACTGTAGTCTGAATCCATGGGAAGCATTTGTACTTAGCTGTCTTTTCCCCACAGCATTTCATCTTTTTTTTTTTTTTTTGGCAATTACAATTACTACAACATTCCTGCTTAATGTCATGGATCTGTTTTAGGTATTTATTTCCAAAAAGGCTAGTAAGTTTTCCTGTTGACTTCTAACTGTCCTGTCAAGGGAAGAATTTAGCAGGGTTTTGAATCCACCAACACTAATTTTTTAAAAGTGGGGCTATTTAGCAGTGGATCTTTGTGGTGCTGTTCTGTTTGTGATGACTGTTGTTGAAGTGAGTGGAGGGAATGTGTAATGGATGTGATAATTAGCAGAATGTATTTGGAAAACCCAAAGTTCTGCAGTCAGTTAAACCATAAAGGCCAACCTATCCTTTAGTGCAGTGGTTCCCAATAGCGATGAGCATAAACCTTGGTTCAGAGGTTTGTGCCAGATTGTTGGACCAGAACACAGGTGCTGTGTATTCCCTTCCCCCACTCCCAGCTGGATCCCCCACGCACAAGCTGGTGCTCACTTTCCTTCTCCTCCTCTTTGAGTGTTCACCCAGTCCCAGCAGGAGCACGTGCTTCCTTCCTCTGCTTCCTCTGGCAGCCATCCACTCAGAAGAGGAGGTGGGGCAGAGATTCCTGCAGTACTTCCTTTGAGTAGGCTGCTGCTGGAGGAGGCAGAGGAAGGAAAGGCAGAGATACCTGCAGTACTTCCTTTGAGTGGGCTGCTGCTGGAGGAGGCAGAGGAAGGAATGAGCATTGTGCCCCAGCTGGTGAGAGGTGATCCAGCTGGGTGGGGTTGGGGGGGGAAGGGAATACACAGCATCATTGGTGCTGGCCTGATGATCTGGCACAAACCTCTGTACCCAGTTTCGTGCCCATTTCTAGTTCCCAACCATTGGGTCCCTAGATATTCTTAGACTACAACTTCAAGAAATCCTGGGCGGCAGAGCTACTGGTGAAGGCTTCTTAAAGCTTTTGTCCAAGAACATCTGTGGACTCAAGTTTGGGAACCACTGCTTTAGTGGCTTGGGTGGAAGTTTCTTGCCCATTTCTTCTTTATGAAATTTTGATGTGAGGCATCCATAAGTTATTCCTCTGTTACACTAGTGCCTACATGTGATGTTAAAGCAGCTGTAACACACGCGCACACACTGTGATTTCGGCAAAATGCATTGCAATCCTTTTTCTTGCGACCTCTGTTAGCGTCCAGGGTGCCCTGCTGGAAAGACAGGGTGGGACGCTTGAAGAAATGCCAAATGAGAACTGCGGCAGCCACCCAGCAATTCTCGGTGTTGAAATGCAAACTGGCTGCAAATGTACATTTGTAACTCTCTGCAATGTTACAGAGATTTACCCTGAAGCAAATTGGAAAACATCAATCATGTAATGGAACCCCATTGCTGCCTCTCTCACCTCTTCATATCCTCCTCCCTCCAACAAGCACATGTGTTTCCTACTGATAGCTTTTAATACACATCCCCTTAATGTCTTCTCACAGGAAGTCGAAATGGAAAGAAGTTTGCGAGCACCGGCATTTAAAAATCAGCCTGGGAGTCATTCCATCATTCCCGTGAAAGGCCCAGAAGCAAAAGGTGGCAAAACGGTCTTTGAAAAGATGTCATCAGAGAAAGCTTCGAACAACAGCACTGAAGGTTAGCATAACACTTTTGATCTGATTTCTTGCTTTCCTACCATATGCCAAACCAGGAAGACAGTAAAACATCAAGTGAGGGATTTTTCCTCCCCCTGATAAAGTGATGATGATAATACATAGATAGGCTTCTAAAGAAAACAACGTTAGTTGCCGTTTGACATTCTGGTAACTTTGAAAGGCCGATTTCAGGAGAGTAAGGTCGGGAGAAATTGGTGGTGTTTTGTTTTGCGGTTGTGGTGGTAGTTTTTTTACGGTAAAAAAAGTGGAAGCAAGAAAAACAACTTTGATTCTTCTACTCCTCCATTTCCCCAGCTTCAAACAGAACAGTATGTTAATTTCTTCACCAAAAAACAGTGCAAGGCCTTTTTGGAAATAATATTCCTCCTACGTAATCAAAATATCTCAAGAAAATTGTGAAGCTGCATTCAATAGAAGAATGTGTCACGCTTCTCAATTTGGGGAAGGAAAGTAGCTTTCTGTCTTTTATTTTTTTCAGATGATTACCTTAAAACATATTTAATAATTTTAGCGCACAGTGAAACAAAATGGTGTCATAATTTAGGAAAACTATTGTTGGATATACTTTTGATTTATTAATATTTTCAAAAGGCACATAGAATTGCAGCGTTTAGCATACATTTCAATTGCAAAAGAACAAAATATAACCATGGCGTTTGAAGTACAGATACTGTTTAGTTTTTCTGTACTTAAAAGATGAATTTTCATATAAACTTTTTTTGAAGCCAGCAATGTATTGGTCAAAAATTACTTTACAAAAACCTTCTCCTTGTTTCAATTCTGACTTGTGTTGACCCTTTTCAGGGTTTTCCAGGTAGAGAGATTGCCATGGGATGGTGCAGCTTGTCCAAGGCCACACAAAGCTGGCTCCAATGGGGAATTGAACTCCCAACTTCTGCTTAAACCACTGAGCTATCTAGTCAGCCTAATTATCTGCACTCAAGTAATTTCTGACTTACGGTGATCCTTTTCTGAAGTGGTTTGCCATTGCCTTCCTTTGGGGGCATCTTGGGACTCTGCAGCTTGCCCAACACCATACAGACTGGTTCTAACCACAGGAGGCTCAGTGAGGAATCGAACTCCCAACCTTTGACTCCACAGCCAGATACTTAAACCACTGAGCTATCCAGTCAGCTTCACTAAGTATAGATATTGCATATATTATAATTATTATATTATAATTATCTATAAGTGAAGCTAGCTGGATAGCTTCACTAAAATTGATACAATTTTTTTAAAGATCCAAACTAAATGTCATTTTCAAAGCAGCTGTTTTTTAAAAAAAAACAGATAACCAAACAGAGAGATTTAAATACCTGACATGGATACAGCCCCGTATTTAATTCACATAAAGAATGCTGGTGTGGAAGGTTCAAATCCTCATTCAACCATCAACCTTGCTGGGTGACTTTGTCTTGTCACCAGCACAACACTTTAGGTCAAAAATAGACTAATCATTTTAAATTTATTTGAACTTTATCTATATTTCATACATGTCCATAATTTTAAATTGTGAAACACCCTGAGACGAATAAAGAAGAAGGCTTGTCACCATCTGTCAGCTTAAATTACCTCACAGTTTGCTCTGAGGGTAAGAAAAAAGGGGGCAGAATCACATCTGTAGTCTTGAATTCTTTGAATAAAAGCTGGGAATAGCAAATCAATCTTCCTTTACTTCCAACCCTGTGAAATAGGATGAGCTGCAAGACATTCTTTATCTACTTCTGTGAGGTGGCACCACAATGTCTCTTTCACAGATATATGCGTTCTTCAAGGGTGCAGCTCCTCAGGGAGGGAAATTCAAACAGACCGACCAATAACTTTGGATGGCTTCAACATCCCAGTGATCTCTATGAAGCAGAGATAAATTGGCTCCACATTCCTTAGAGGACAAAAGGAGACAGCAACCTCTATGCACAACACTAAGCTGCCTTTTTGCACTCATTCTTTTTAGCTTTAAATATTGTGTTCTAATTACATAACCCACCTTTGTATGCTCATTGTGCTTTTTTTAAAAAAAAAGTTTTAAATCATGTTTTTCAGTGATGCAAACCACCTTGGCCCATTTTTAAGGAGAAAGATGGGTTTATAATATTTTAAATACTGGAAATAAATAAATAAATAAATAACAGATGGCCCCTATGTGCCCTCTGGTGGCTAAATTTAAAAAAAAATAATTGGAGAGGCAGCAGGAGAGCTTGGTAGCCCAGAAAACTTCATAGAATAGGCCCCACCACACCTAGAGAACACAGAGGGATTTTCTGAGCAATTTCCTTTTCAAAAAATGAAATCTGGGGGGCTGTGGACCTCTAGGGGCACTGAGGGGCCACACCTGCCCCCCTTGAGGCTGTATGAAGGGCATGCACTGCATGTTCCCCATTCTGTGCTACAGAAATGGTTATCTCCTTTGTTCACAGGTATTTTTGAAAAGGACAGGGGCAAATTCAATCTGTCCTACCCAGATATAAATATATAAAAAACCCAAATGTAAATAAATAGGGGCTCTTAATGTGTTAAATAATTTGATGCATAAGGGTGCGATGCTGCATGAAATTAGGCTGAAATCTAATTGACTTCAGTGGGTCTCTCTTCTCAGGAGAAAGGCAGCAAATAAATTATAGATCTAAATTATATACACAGCAGGACTCTGGTATCTGTGGGAGATCAGTTGCAAGCCCTGCATGGAAGCTGAAAAATACAGAAGTATCGAACGCTATACATTGAATGGTCTCTGGCCAGTTCTGGTACATACACCCTGGTAATACGTATAAATAGGTATTTCGGGGGGCGGGGTGGTATTTAGTATTTTCAGCCAGCGGGTAAGTGAATTGGCAGATATTGATCCTGTAGATAGCGATGTCATACTATTGTGTCACTATATATAGAGTTCTCTTAAATAAAAAGGCGATTCCCATTGAAGTCAGTGGGTTAGTAGTGTGCATATTAATTTCCATACCTCTATCGATGTAATGTGGTCATTGTGATAAAAATGAGGGGGCAGTCTGTTTTGGTCCCAGTCCACCACAAGTAATCCGAGGGTGCCCCTCTTCTTCACCATATGTCACCCGGCGATTCCCCTCTTAATCGCTCTCCCTTTGCCCATTTCCAGATTCTCCACAATGTGAGCATCTGCATGGAGGAAATCCCTTTGTGTTTTTCATGCATCTGATTGGACAGAAAGGGGTGTGGGAAGGGAATCTTCTCCTTTAAAAATAGTGTGGGACTTTCTCTCATTGGAGGCACCGTGTGGCTTTACCTGTGTTAACATATGGAGACACCATTACCTTTTGGAAACTTTTTTTTTAAAGGACCAAAGTTAAATTCACGTCTGAGGATTCTGATCCCCTTTTCACCCAAAGTAATACAGACTTCACAATGAACCAGGGCAAGGTCCCTTGAGCGTGTCATGGCTCAGGCTGACTGGTATGCCTCACATGTCTGCCTGCAACATACCATGCAAGCGTGGCTTCTCGACTTAACCAGAATGGCTGTGGTGATGCATGGCAGTTGTTTTAAAGGAGGGGCTCCCTCGTCAGAGCAAACCATTCCTATGAATCGCATTCTGAATGGGCCAAGCAAGCCCTCCCCGGCAAACTGCCAAGCAGCTCATGACCTTCAAGCAGCCTTGATTACTCACTTGAGGCGACTATTTAACTGTGATGTGTGTGGAAGAGATGACGAGGGCCTTCTTATCACATAGGGCAGGCTGAGCGGCCTGCGTCATACTCCTTCACACAGCCGCCGGCCCAGACAGATGGCCTGGAGGCAGGAAGGCAATTGAGCAGGGATTCAAGCAGGAAGAAGCAGGCAATGAGCAGCTTTGCGCTTTAAGAGACGTTACAGACTTATCCATACTTTGAAAACCAGGCCGTTCTGTGGCTAATACAGAAAGCCAGCATGTGGGGAGGAATGCTTTCAATAAACAAGCAGCAGGGATATCAATGCTTGTCTGGATCTGTCACTGAAGCTCAGGCATCTTTATGTATATAATAACGCAGAATACTTAACATATTGGCCCTGGACTAGAGATTGTGAGTCATGCTTTTCATCAAGTCCCATTCAAATCAATGGGACAAGTTAATCCTTTTAATTTCACTGGGAACTGAGCATGATTCACTTTCTTCTCCCTCCCTGTGTTGTGAATATATTTTAAAACAGAGAACAGTTGGTTTTATACTGGCCTTCAATATTTTATGGGATGATGGGGTAGAAACAGAAATGAGTAGACATGGGTTATTCATGTTTGTATGCCTGGGGATACGAATCCAAATAGCGGCACCCCAGGTGCCACAGAGGCCCATTTCCTCCCCCACCCCCGAACCGGTCGCCACACCGTGTGGGGTCCTTTATCGTCAATGTCGTAGGAATCCAGGAAGGAGCCCGGCTGGCGCTTCCCTGCTTCCTCACACAACTGACCACTCTGGCAAGGAGGCAGGACAGGGAGCCTCCCTGCTCTGCTGATGAGTGGTTGGCTGCGTGGCAAGGTGGGGAAATGCTGGCCAGGCTCCTTCCTGGATTGGCATGACAACGATGGACCCCAGCATTGTGTGGCAACTGGTGAGTGGCCCGGCGGTTTCTGGGAGGAGGGAATGGGCCTTGCACCTGTAGTGCAGCTATTCATATTCGTATCCCCAGAGATATAAGTACAAATAACCTCCATCTAACAGGTGCTACCTACCTGGAAATATTACAAGTGAAATCCATGTCACACTGATCATTTTCATCCCGTTATGTATAGACAGCAGGAGACCATCATTTGTTCGTTGTCAATAGCAAAAGAGAACCTGGCATTAAAGCGAGTGCCCTCTCCTCCCGTTTTCTCTGCAACCCACTCCCTTTCTCCAGTCGTCTGTTTCCGGTGGCTGGGGGTGATTGTGCTATGGCAGGGGCTATGGTGATAGGGTGGAGCAAGATCAGCCACTGGGTGCCCTTTGGGTGTTGTTGGATGATGACTTCCACAATCTCTGGCCATTAGCCATA